GTGTGTGTGTGTGGTGTGTGTGTGTGGTGTGTGTGTCTGTGTGTGTGTGTATCTGTTTGTGTGTGTGTGTCGGTGTGTGGTGAATGTGTTGTGTGTGTGTGTGGTGTGTGTGTGTGTGTGTATCTGTGTGTGTGTGTGTGTGTGGTGTGTGTGTGTGTGGTGTGTGTTTGCGTGTGTCTGTGTGTGTATCTGTTTGTGTGTGTGTGTCGGTGTCTGTGTGGGCTGAATGTGTGTTGTGTGTGTGTCTGTGTGTATCTGTGTGTGTGTGTGGTGTGTGTGTGTGGTGTGTGTGTGTGTGTGAAAAGAGAAAGCTGTATTGTAATTCTGGAGTGGAACTGAGTTGCGGTGTTAAGACCACATATATTCCTGCACCCCCCCCCCCAGCATTGAACGTTGACTTACGAAAGACGATATGCTGTCAATCAAGCCATGTCAATGGAACTTGATGTTGTAAACATACCAATTAACAGGAAAGTAAAGACCCTGAACCAAGTACAATGGCAAGTACTTGTAGAACATGTTACACTTGTTATTCCGACAAACTATTACTTCCTTGACAGTTTGAAATTCAGTGTTCTTGCTCTAGGAGCTTGTTAAAATGACTGCGGAGAAGCAGAGCCCGTTCCTGTCCGGTGGACCGACCCGCCGGGACCGTCTCCCCGTGTTGGTCGGGCCGCTGGTCGGCGTCCTGGCCGCCCTGGTGTGCGGGATCAGCGTGCTGACGGGGGTGGTGGTGGTGCACAACATGCAGCAGGAGCTGACAGGTGTGAAGCGGGAGTTATCAGTCCTGCAGACCGAGAACACCGGACTGAGGGAGCGGCTGGTGGCGGTGGAGAACCTGCTGGATGGCGCCCTCGCTGGGCACGACCGGCGGACTGTTGACGAGTCGGAGGTATGTTTCTAAACTTAATGTGTTTATTCAAATTGGACGTTAATTTACATGCATCTCTTGTCTTTCTCTTCTTTCTAAGCGGCATCCAAGCTAAATCTCTTTTCGTGAGTGCCTCTCTTGCACCTAAAGAAGAATAGATAAAGAGTAGCAGATTATAGTTTGACTCAATACATGTATGTCTTAAATATCTATATATAAGTGTCTTAACTTCCTCCATATCCAGCCAAACCGACTGCAATTTGGTGAAATGAAAAACTTTCATTTTCTAATTTTTAAGTCGAAAATAGGGAATAAAATGGATTTTCCTTTTTTATTTTGTATTCTGTTGTACACACAATGTCTAGCTCCTACCTTCCCTATTGAAACAACAGAATGTTTGTAACTGCCATTCAATGGATGCCCATCACTAAAAACAGTTGGTTCATAGAATCTTGTAAAAGCTGTACATAAAAGAAAATCTATACCATGTGTTTCCCTATGTCTTTATTAATTTGTTTCCATCCTGAGAAGATGGCAATTCCTATTTTCTTTGCTGTTGTCTTAAGTTGAAACATATGCTAATCTTGAAAGACAATCTGTTCACAATCTGTCTCTATTAATTTGTTTTCATCTTGAGAAGATGGCAATTCCTATTTTCTTTGCTGTTGTCTTAAGTATATGTTTCAATATGCTAATCTTGAAAGATAATCTGTTCACAACAAATACATATGGAATCCCCTGGACATTTTGTTCACAACAAGTACATATGGAATCCCCTAGACATTTGACCTTATGGTACAAAGTAGAAATCTTGAACACGGAGTTCTTTGCACGAAGTATCAAAGAAGCCATCTACATCAGGGCATTACAACCATCCCCAAACAAAGACGGGGGGCGCCACAGACTTTCTGTAGCCTATGATCCACTGCTCATGGAGTCACGTGTGTTACCTGCGTGACGTCACAGAAGCTGTGGATTACTCATTCCTTAAAAAACACTGAAGTTGAACGGTCACAAATTTGGGTAAGTCCAATATCTTGTGTTGGAAATTACAGTTTTAAACTTGCTATATAATGTTAAAATTTCAACCAGAATTCATTTCAACAAGATCACACAATAATGTCTTTTGACAATCATTTTTATGATTTCATCTTGTGCATACATTACATTGCCTTATATAAATATTGCCTTAATACTTTTCTTTGGTTGCAATGTAGCCAGTCAGCTTTAGTGTTTTTATCTGTCCTGTCCACTGAGCTGTTGTAGTGCTGTTTCTAACTTGTCAGGGGGGAACACCCCCTTCTCTGTGATGATACCCCCTGTGATTAGGTCGTGAGGCGTTACGTCAAAGGCAGGATTCCAGCACTTGATTCCTGTGAACAAGAGCAATCAAAATGAGCTCCCACTGTGAGGTCTGCTCAGTGTCTGTAGTAACATACATGTACAATGTATGTATGGAATGCTTATGAGCAAAACATTTTTCTATCAAAGTGACTTGTATGTCTGACATCCAATGCAAAATTAAAAGCTGTTTTTGGAAATCTATACTCATAAAATAAAATATCTACATGTATAAACATCACGTAATAACACTTGAGTTTTGGTGACTGTTAAGGGCTCGGAATTAAAGGTGGTCCATTGGCCACTGACCATCAAAAGTTAGGCTGGGACAACTAAAAAGACACATTGGGACATTTTTGGGACAATAGAAAAGTAATCAACATCAGAATGTCAGCCTTTCTTTTGTCTATCAGGCACACGTCCCGGCTTTTGGATCTGGAAAAGTCCTGGATAAATTACTGCAATTCTGTATCTGTATCTGTATAGCCGGTATAACCGCCTTTCGGCGTAACACACCAGCTTCTGTATCTGTATAGTCAGTATAACCGCCTTTCGGCGTAACACACCAGCTTAATAGTATAACAATTATAGTGCACCTGGGAGTGAACATGAGCAAAATAAAGTTGACTTCAATTTGAATACAATACTTTAAAAAAACAGGTTGGGACAGTTCATCCTTACTTCAGGACAATTGAAATTTATTTTTGGGCCAGTGCTGGAACAATATGTAGGAAGAAAAGTTCATTTCAAGGTCTGCTATTAGACAATGCCATGTTTCAAAGTACAATGTATGACATATTGAGTCTGAATGACAGAAAATACTACACATATCTGATGCTGTACATGTACCTTCAGGTGCCAATCTTGTACCATTGATATGAGTCATCTCCTTGTGTGGCCTCTGTTCGATCACGATCTCCTCTCCCGTTCGCAGGGAAAGGTCACAGGTCGTGGACGGCGCGGCGATGTAGAACGGGACGCCATGATGGTGGGCCAGTATGGCCAGCTGGTACGTGCCGATTTTGTTGGCCGTGTCGCCGTTAGCAACCACTCTGTCTGCGCCGACAACAACAGCTGAAAAAACAGTGTGTGTAACAACTATTTTTAATATGGCCATGTTGATTTGATTATATGGATGACATCCGTGCGCGCATGAATTTTTGGCCATTTCCAAAAAAAAAAGTTTTCAACCATACTGTAAATCGTACAAAACAGTTGCAAAATGAGCAAATGTATAACATGAGTTGCAAAGAAAAATATTTAAAAACGATACCACTGATGGAGAATGCCAAAATCAAACGAAAAAGACAAAAATGTAAAGAAATGAATTTGAAGAGTAGATTATTTGCCATACCATACTCTGTGTCATTTGTTCAACCTACATGACCACATAGATTTCATGATGAAGGCAACTTTTTTTCTTCAAAACTTTTTTTTTGCAAGCTTGCATCAGTTTTGGAGTTCCCAGAGGATGTAATCCATATAATCAAATCAGCATGGCCTAACATGCAGTCTAGTTGATCCTTTTCTGTTTTCTTAGACCATGTTGATTTGATTTTATAATTTGCTTATATGGATGACATTTATCTGTTTCCAACAAAATAAGCAAATACATGCCGTAAGTTGCGAAAAAAAAGGAAAACGATTATACTAAATGTTGTAGACTTAATTTGTCTCTTTGAGTCTGAGCTTTTGTTTATTCATGAAATACTCCTGATAGATTGTAATGACTAGGTTCAGTTACTGAACCAACTCCAAAATGCTCCTATTTTTGCCCGAACAGTTGAATAACATCTTTGTCTTCCTAATATTGTTACAGTTTTCCAGTCTATCAATACATGTACAGTGCTTCTGATAGATTGTAATGACTAGGTTCAGTTACTGAACCAACTCCAAAATTCTCCTATTTTCGCCCCAACAGTTGAATAAGTAAATAACATCTTTATCTTCCTAAAATTGTTACAGTTTTCCAATCTTTCAATACATGTACAGTGCTTTGATGAAAGTTTCATTGTTTGAATAGAAATTATAAACCAGCCTGTATTTGACTTCATGGCTTCTATTCTAGCATTTGGGGCTGTCAAAGGATGCTTGGCCTGCTTTTATTTTTAATTTTTTTTTTAGCCCTGTCACTTAATTTTTTTTCTGAAAAAATCGTTGTAGACCCAACAAATTAGATTTGGTCTTGAAAGTTCATCTGTGTTGGTAGAAGTCATTATGCAGAAAGTTTAAACTGTAATTTAAGTGTGTTACCTGCGTGACGTCACAGAAGCGGTGGATTGTTCATTCCTTGACAAAGACTGGAGTTGTACAGTCGTAAATTTGGGTGAGTCCAATTTCTTGTGTTGGAAATTACAGTTTAAACTTGCTGCATAAATTAGATTTGGGACAATTAAGGGAAAATCCTGTCACCTGAGATCCCTTTTGTCCTCATGAGTGCAGCCACCATACTGTCAGTGACGAGTGTGGCGGGGATGTTGTCATGTACCAGTTCGTATGCTGTTAACCTGGCGCCCTGGTTATACGGCCTGGTCTCTGTACAGTACACCTCCGCGATGGCCTTCTTCTCATGTAGAGATCTGATCACACCTGGAGATTCAAGCACAGATCTGTTCAGGCCACATTGATTTGATTATATGGATGACATCCGCTCGTGCATGAATTTTTGTCCGTTTTTGACCGTCAGCTGTAAATCGTACAAAGTAGCTGCAAAATAAGCAAATATATGCCGTAAATTGAACAAAATATTGGAAAACCATACTTATGTCGCAGAATGCCAAAATCCATTCAAAAGGACAAGAAGAACATGTGAAGGAATGAAAATGAAGAGACTATTATTCACCATGCCAATAAAATATTACTCTGTATGTTTAGTCATTTGTTCAACCTTCATGACCACCTAGATTTCATAATGAAGGAAAAGTTTTTGCCTAACTTTTTTTTTATTCGCACGCTCCCATCAGTTTTGGGGTTCCTAGATGATGTCATCCATATTTTTATAATCAAATCAACAATTGGCCTTAGATAATATTTATCAGGGCTCAAAACACTGGGTGCATGTGCACCTTAGTGCACCCAAATTTGGAGCTGTGCACCTAACTTTTTTCAGTGGCTGCACCAGTGCATCCAAATATATTTGTAGGTTTACATACATGTATGTACCAGTGCATGTAATTTTGCCTCACAGATATCAGTATGCTTTGGATAGGATTGATTCAACTTACCATATCAAAAGAATGACAAAAAAATTGACTCTAGAAAATCCTGTTTTGACACCCTGAAATTGCAGTGGATGCCTTTAATATCAATAGTACGAAAGACCAAAGGTACAAGTTCGAGAAGGCTTTATCGGGTCATTTTTCACCATTCAAAGCCCATTTTTCACTGTTCAAAACCCATTTTTCAACGTTCAAAACTCAATTTTTCATCCTTCAAAATCCAATTTTTCATCCTTCAAAATCCAATTTTTCATCCTTCAAAACCCAATTTTTCATCCATCAAAACCCAATTTTTCATCCTTCAAAACCCAATTTTTCAGCCTTCAAAACCCAATTTTTCAGCCTTCGGAATACCGGTGCACCATGAAGCCTTGTCGAACTTGTACCTTTGGTCTTTCGTACAATAGAAGTACATGTACGTTGTCCTTACCCAGTGCAGTTCCGTAGCCTGCCGTGGCCAGAGACCCGGTGTTACAGTGTGTGAGAACTGTGAGTTCTTTCTCCCCCACGTTCTGTAGGATGTGATCAGCACCGTACCTGCCCATGGTCTTATTGTCTTCCACATCTCTGTCCAACATGTCCTGTACTGCCTGTAGAAACCTGAGCAAACAGGAATATTTAGATGTTTAAAGTTCAAACTTTTGGTCCAACACAAAAAAATTCTCTCACCTAGAGCTTTCGACCAGTCACTCTGGTCTTCCTCAGTAGACTGACCCAGTGAGGCTCGTCACGTGGCTTCTTTGAAGTGTGACGTCAACACTGGGTCAAAGGTATCTGGTAGATGATGTCGGGCCCCGTCACACTTCAAAGAAGCCACGTGACAAGCTTCACTGGGTCGGTCTACTGAGGAAGACCAGAGTGACTGGACCAAAAGTTTTAACTTTAAACATGTAACTACCAACACAGATGAACTTTCATGATAGGAATATTTAGATGTACCAAAAATCAGTTACTCAAGCAACTGGGTATGATTTTGGAAACGGTCAGATGTTTCAACTAGCATCCACTACAGTAACTACTTTTTGTCAGTGACACTAGAGAAATCTGAAAATCAGTAGGTGCACTGGTACACCAACAGAAAAAAAGTTATCAAATATTCAGATTACATATTTGAGCCGGCTTCATGCATCTGGAGATATATCTGGAGATAAGTTCTATTCCGAAAGGCCTGAAGACAATTACCAATCCTTGAGCTTGTCTTTACTGGAATGACCTTCTTTACTACGTTGAGAGATCTGTTTTGACAGGCGGGTGGAGGCTTCTGTCATGTTGACGGCGGTGGGGCGAGCCGTCACCAGGTACGCCAGACTGTCTGTCACGAACTTCACCAGCTCTTCTGCAGAACAGAAGTCCCTATTGGCTATCTCCACCCCGACACTAAGACATCCCGCTATGGCTATGGCGGGCGCTCCACGTACCTACAACATGGAAAAGTACAAAAAATTTTCGTTTACCATACATGTACATATGGCAATTGGGCACGTTTCACTTCCTTATGGCCACACCAATTTAATTTGTTGTTTCTCAGATTTTTTTAAGAAAAATATGAAACGACAGGGCGAAATAAAAAAAATAATAAAACAGGCCAAGGCACCCCACGAAGGCCAGAAATGTTACAATATGGGCCATGAAGTTAACATATACCAGGCTGTTTATAATTTGAACAATAGATTTATTGAAGATTTGATAGATTAGATTACTTGAAAAATATTGAAACAAAAAGGACTTTCTCCAACCGTTGGGGCCAAAATATGTCTTTCATATGAAAAAAACTGAAACTGAAACATTCAGCATTAACAGTTGATTCAGAACCTAAAATCTTGTTTGTTTTTTTTTGCAATTCAGAAAAAATGGACAGGGCGAATCTGAGAAACAACAACTTAAATTGGTATGGCCTAAAGACAATATATACGTCGAGTGATCGTCATAACGTCACAGCCAGCAAGTGGTAGGAAAAAAGCGGGTGACGGTTGGCTGATTTGCCGACCAATGATTTGCAGATGTCTTCAAATAATTTGCATGTACATTTTATATATTATGTAGACAAAAACAGCGTTCACTCTTATGGTATAACACCATTCCAACACACATATTTGCCACACATCATGTTCCTGCAGTTCCCTTTTATTCTGCTGGGTGTCTCTTTGTCATGTCAATGCAACAAACAAAACACAAGGGTGTCAGGGCATCAATAATGACAATATACATGTTTTTGTAAAATACCAGGTATTGAGCTTTTGCACCACAAAACCATATTCAGATTTCCATACTCAGTGCACAAATGATTAAAAAATTGAAAAATGGGAAATATAAAGACATCATGGTTGCTACGTAGATTTTATAGGGTTATTATGTTCCACTATCAATAAAATATGTTTGATTTACAATTTGATTTTGCAGGACAAAATTCACATGACAGAGAAACAGACACTGGCTAGAACAAGGTTTACGAGTAATTCTAGCAGAAAGCCAAACTGAAGACCAGACCACAAATCCTATATGAGCTGCCCTTTAACTGGTAAGGGATACAAATGTCCAGACCTTCAATTATGGAGATATTCAGGTCACTACTGTATTTTATTGCATGGAGATTGAATTTCAGTCTTTCAGTCAACCAAGTAGCAACAAGGGTAGGATCAAAGTACAAAATAGATGGTCCATGGCAGGATACTAGATACAGTAATGCAGTCAGAGGAATATTTACTTTTAAAATGATGTGATATAAAAGAATAAGCTAACATGTACCCCTGACCATTAAGCTTCTGTCCATTTTGTCCAAAGCATAATAGAAAATGAATTTCACTTTGTTATGGAATGTACCAAATATGATGTTTTACGTAACAAGTTATTTACATTTCTCGAATCAAGTACAACAGATTTCAAGAGTCTCGATGTTGAATAGGTAGATATATAAAGAACTGCTTACAAATTGTTAATGTTATTTGAAAATATGCAGAAACTTGTGATTAGCCCAGTCGATTGTAACACTTTATCAAAGACTTGTGCTAGCCCTTATTGTTTGAGCTGAGTAATTAAGATATGTTATTGTTAGGTTTTTATTTGACATTAGGTCTTATTCAACACATTTATTTTATTGTGTTATTTTTTTATGTAGTTTGCTATACATTGTACCATGTGCAATTGTCGTGCAATAAAGTTCTTCTGTATCCTTGGGATTCTTGGAAAAGGAACTGCTCAACCCTCAACACTCTAAAGCTATAATATTACATATGACATATACATACAAAACTATCGATTCAGACAAAGTTAATTTAAATTCTAATAATGTATCTAATGTGCTGTACTGTAGGATATCTACATGTAGAATGATCTCATTATTCTTACTGCAAATAATTATGGCAGTTAATCAAATCATGTATCTTTCAGAACTAAGTTCTGATCTTTTCCTGGCAATATTTACATGTTTTAAATATTCTACACAACCAGGGCTCAAAATGCTTTTTTTCAAGTTAGGCCACACCGATTTAATTTTATGGATGACATCCTCTGAAGACCCCCAAACTAGTGCGCGCGGGCGAATAAAAAAAAAATCCGGCCAAAAATAAAAATGCTACCAAACCACAGGAATGCAAAGCTGGTATTGTGAATTTGTGGCAGTATCCGGCGACGTACATCTACATCCTACATGTCAAGCCAGCACAAGCCGGCTTTTTGCGGAATTTATGAATCGGCGCTGTACGTATGTACCGAGTTCTTGAGCCGTGGAACTTCGGCAGCCTTGGTGCCATCCTCCAGGGTTACCACCGGCTCCGTATTGTTGCTAACTACCATGGACTACCCAGGCCTAGAGCCAGGCCAGGGCCTCGGAGGA